GTGTCACCCCCTTCCTGCCCCCCCGCCGACCCACGCTGTCGTGTGTGACATATAGACACTTTCTGCATCCCCATCGACCCGCGCTGTCGTGTGTTACACATTCTGCGTCCCCATCGATCCGCGCTATCATGTGTTACACACGCTTTCTGCGTCCCTGCCGACCCGCGCTGTCGTGTGTGACATACAGACACTTTCTGCGTCCCCGCCGACCTGCGCTGTCGTGTGTTAGACTCCTGCTCCTCCTGCCATGGTCTATCGCAGTCAGGGCACAGTGACCGCCCTCACCATCCCCAGGCTGCCCTGCCCCCTGCTGGCAGCACCACAGTGCTCAGTGACACCGGGCCTGGGCATTTCTCCCTGTGCCGTGTCTTCTTCCCAAACTTGGCCGTTTTTCTTCCGTCCGCCTCTGCTCTCTGTGCTGGCCGTTAATCCAGGCCCCCATGTACAGGCCTGTCCACCCGTCAGGCACCCGGCGTCCATGTTCCTGCTATGCCAGGGCCCGCCCGCTGCCCACTGGCAGGGCGGTCCGCTTGCTCTCCACTCCTGTCTTTGCCAACGCTCCCTTGGCCTCCTGGGGAGGCCGTGCCTGTCCCACGTCCTCCCAGGGGCTCTCAGGGACCAAGCTGGGAGGGAGCGTGTGGAGGCTACACGTGGATCCTCTCTGCTGGCCACAGTTGGGGCCGCAGGGGCCCTTTCCCACAGGGTCTTCCGGCCTCACCTGGCCCTGGCCATGGCTGCTGCTCCTCTGTCCCCAGAGCTCCCACGCGAGCCCTCCGGCTCAGTGATGTGGGACACCGTCCTGCTGAGCCCATCAGTCCTGTCCTCACTGGCTGGGGGGGGCCTCGAGGCTTTGCTCAACCTGCCTCTCACCCACACCTGCACGTGCCCCTCTGTTACCCGACAGCACAGAGAGCCCCCAGCCCTGGTGTGGCCCCATGCTGCGAATGGCTCTCAGGGAGGGCAGCCGGCACGTGGGACGTCGGTGGGGAGGCTGGCCGGAGAGCTCCTGCTGCACTGAGACATGCTTGGCCTTGGCAGGAACATCACGGTCGAGCCCGGAGTGGTTCCAGCCACTTCTCATAGCTGATTGATTGCCTTTAGGGAGAGGCTCCGCCAGCGGCCCTGCTCCCAGGGGCAGAGGCTCCCTGTGGGTGGATTGCCCTCTGCTCTTCCTGGCCCGCAAGGCCTCCTGCCTACTGCTCCAGCTCCCGCGGCCCCGTTGAAGGTCCCAGATGCACTTCCTGTCATCCTCCGCATGCGTGTGGGTGAGGGGCGGCTCTGAGGGGCCCGGGTGCACCCGAGCCAGGAGCTGCTCCTCTAGCCTATGCTGTGCACGGTGGCCGCCTGGAGGCGCCTGCAGCCTGTGCCCAGCCGCCCTCGCCGAACCTGGAGACACCAGTTTCCTGCCAGCTTCAGTCGACAACTTGGGAGCATAGATCATGGTCTTCTCTGATGTCTCCCTCAGTCCAGCCCATGGGGCTCCCAGATGGGTGACCAACGAGCTGGCCTTCTCCAGAGAGCTGGGGAGGCTGGGTGTAGGGGGGCCAGACCTATCGTACGGGCACCCATCACACGGCCATCCACGGCCAGCCCACCCCACAGCCACCCCATGGCCAGCCCACCACACAGCCAGCCCACCCCATGGCCACTCCGTCACACGGCTACCCCATAACCAGCCCACCACACGGCCACCCCATGGCCAGCCCACCACACGGCCAGCCCACCACACGGCCAGCCCACCACACGGCCACCCTATGGCCACCCCATCACTCACCCCCCGGCCACCCCATGGCCAGCCCATCACATAGCTAGCCCATGGCAACCCATCATGTCCAGTCTCCCATGGCCACACCACAGCCAGCCCATCACGTGGCCACCCCATCACACGGCTGCCTCATGGCCACTCTGGCCAGCCCATCACGTGGCCACCCCATCACATGGCTGCCTCATGGCCACTCTGGCCAACCCATCACATGGCCACCGCACAGCTAGCCCATCACACGGCTGCCCCATGGCTAGCCCACGGCAGCCCATCACACAACTACCCTGTGGTCACCTCATGGCCAGTGCATTGCACGGCCACTCCACGGCCAGTGGAGTCTGAAACTGGACATCACAAAGACCCCCAGACTCAGACAGTGGGTGTCATCCCGCGTGCCACCGGAGCCCCAGCCCAGGCCACCCTCTATCCCAGGGCTCCTCGTCTGCCCTGGACACCCACCGAGTGCCACGTGGCCATGGGCTCCAGCTGTCCCCCTGCCCTCCTGGCCACAAGCCTGCTCAGTCTCCTCCCCAGCCCAGCACCCCTGGCTCTGGTGGACTTCCTAGGGAAGCTGGGCCTAAAGAGCCCCCCGGGAACAGGAGCTGAGAGGCCCCTGACCCTGTACTGTCCTGTCCCTCGGAAGGGCTGTTTGGTGTCATGGACCCTCCTAGAGGCTCTAGCTGTCCTGTAGGCAGGGCTGGCCCCGGGGACCCCCATCTGATAGATGCTCTGATGTCTCTGTCAGAAATCTGTGTGTGGACGCGGGGCCCGCCCTTTCCACCTTGCTCCCAGTCCTGCCTATCAAGCAGCGGGCCCTACTCGGGAGGAGGCAGGTGCCCCGGGAGAGGTGGTGTGGCCCCAGGTCTGCCCTGCAGGAGGCCCGGCACTCCAGGAACACCAGCTCCTCTGTGTTCACCCGGGACAGTGAGGCGGCACAGTCATTTCAGACAGCCAGGGCAGGGGCTGGGGTGGGGAGCCTGGTGAGGATAGTGAATGGAACTGGAGGAAGGTGCCCAGGGCCCAAGGCAGGTTGGGGGAGGCCTGTCCAGCGGTGTCTGCAAGGCCTATGGGAGTTGGGTCCTGGGATGGGGAGCGGGGGCTGGATCTGGCGCCCTCTGCAGGCTCGGTCAGTGCCTTGCCAGTGAAATGGCCTTGAGTCAGCCTCGCAGAGACCTGCAGCCTCGCAGAGACCTGCAGCAGCACGGCCAGTCATCACCACCCAGAGTGGCCCTGCCACACGCCGTCTGACAGCACAGACTTGACCCGCAGTGCAGGGCGTCCCTAGAGGGCCCCCACCAGCTCCCCGACGGACGCATGCAGCCCCGAATCTCAGAAGCATCACCAAGTGGCGGTGAGAAGCCTACAGAGAAGCAGAAGTGCAACTTGTGGCTCCACGCCGACCTCAGAATAAAAGGCCATCAAGCAGGGGGCCTCCCTCACCGCAGAGGAGGCTGGTGGCCAGGCCTTCGTCCGCCATCCCCTCATGTCGGCGAGTCGACACTTGCTTCCCACGTGGAGGCACGAGGCAGGGGTGCCACTCCCCGTGCTAGCGCCTCGAGGGTGGGCAGGCCCGGAGAGCCCAGCACCTCTTGCAGACACACTTCTGGTTTCTGTGAGGGGCTTCTTGGCGGTACCTGAAGGGTAGCTGCCCCACGGTGGCGGAGCCATGCCCGGCCCGGCTCTTACAACCCAGTCCCGGGACAAGTCTGTCTCTTTGCTTGTTGCTCTGGGAGCGCGACCTTCCTGTCCCTCTGATCCATAGAGACCAGGAGCGTGGGGCAGGGACTGCCGAGGAAAGCAGACAAGATCGCTCCAACCTGCAGTCCGCAAGTGGGGGAGGCTCGGGAGCCAGCTAGCAAACCGCAGGGCCCAGGCTAGCTTTCCGGGTCTTCTCGGGGGTCCTGCTGCTGTCCATGGCCCTGACGGCTGGGGACCCACCCTGCACCTGGAGATGGGGACTCTTGTGCCCCTAGACTCCTGCCCACTGGGTGCCCTGAGCTGCCCTGGGAATTCCCCGGCCCCAGGTGCACAGGAATGGGAACCACGCTGAGCTGCAGTGCCTAGGTGGTTCCACACCAGCACGCCGTCTGGAAAACAGGCTAGGCCGAAGCCTTCACACCGCAGTCGGGGAGGCCGAGGCAGGCAGAGCTCGAGCCCCTGAGGTTAGGAGGCTGAGGCAGCCCAGGACCCTGAGCCCTGAGGCAGGTGGAACCCCACACCTGGTGGTCGGGGAGGCTGAAGCAGGCCACTCACCTGCACCTGGGCCCCACATCGGCCTGCCAGATGGCACTCCACAGAGGCTGCCAGGATCTTGGTTGGGCGTGTGCTTCTGGGGGGTCAGCCCCAGGCAGTCTGTGGGCGAACATGTACGACCTAGAAGTCCTAGCAGTGTCTGTGGGCCAGAGCCCTGACCCCAGCCCCAGTGCAGGGTCCCTCGGACCATCGAGTGGCACAGCCACACCTGCGTGGGCACATCACCGTGAATGGGGCGGGCCACGTCCATGCTCCTGCCCGCTGGCAGAATGCAAGAGGACATTGGTGACCCCAAAGCAGGTCTGCAGTGGCCTGGCCAGAGTGTGGGCTGCATTCATTTTTGATTTTGGACTGGAACCTGCGCCCACAGGCCTCGTGAGCGCCCCCTCGCACTCCCTGAAGCAGCGGGTGCTCAGTGAATGCCCACCTGCCATGCAGGGCCTCGAATGGCCGGCTGACCCCGCGCCCCCACCTCTCTGCCGCTGTGATGGCATCTTTTTTGTGTGCAGCGTCCGAGCCCAACCTGAAGTTACGGTCCAGGCTAAAGCAGAAAGTGGCTGAGCGGCGGAGCAGCCCCCTGCTACGCAGGAAGGACGGGCCAGTGGTCACTGCTCTGAAGAAGCGCCCCCTGGATGTCACAGGTAGGTCAGGTGTGCAGGTAAGCCGCACCGTGCCCCGGCCTGCCGCAGTGCCTCCTCTGCAGCCTCTGCCTGACAGCCGCAGTGCGATCTCACGCCTGAAGCCCTGGAAGTGCCTGGGCCGACAAGACAGCACTGGTGGCTTTGGAGCCTCCCAGCAAGACCTGCCATCAGCGTGCGCGTCTCAGAGTTGGTTTCACTCGGGCGCAGGTCAGGCAGCATGGGCAGCTGGTCCTTAGGGGACATGTTTGCATGAAGTGTCCAGAGGACGTTCTCTGCAGGTGGGCTATCACCCTCGCCCAGGTGATGTGCCCTGGGCCCCTGCTGTGCCCTCCCCACCCAGTGAACAGCGTCCAGAGTTCTGAGCAGAATGTGGCCCCAGAGCACCCACCCCAGCAGAGGAGCCAGGCGCAGAGCCCGCCCAGTGAGCAGCGTCCAGAGTTCTGGGCAGAACGTGGCCCCAGAGCACCCACCTAACCTCTTAGTGCTCATGCCGCTGCTGCCAGCCCCACCTCGTGGCGGGAAACAGGAGGACGCGGGCCCTGCCGCGGTGCCCAAGGGCTCACCTCCCCCCAGCTGTGCACCCAGTACACCTCCATGGCACAGAGGGCAGGGGTGAGGCGGGGCACCCTGCGTGAAGGCTGGCTGTGAAGACTTGGCTCCTGGAGGCCCGCCTGAGTGGCACATCCCTGTTTGTCCCAGGAAAGGCCTAAGGGGACTCCTGGCCACTGTTCTCTGTGATTGCGGCCCAAGCCTTCGGCCATGAGGAGGGAGCCAGCCCTTCACTGTGTGGACCTGTGCTTGCCCCTCTGCCCTGCCCTGCGCAGACCTTGCGGGCTCGTCAGCCCCAGTAGAGCCCCCGTCTGAGGGCTGGCTCCAGAGACTGCACATTCACACCAGGGGACTCTAGCTTTGTCATTGCCTCCTTTGTAAGTGTAGGCTTCACTCCTTGGTCATTCTAGTATGGAAAGGGCTCATCTAGAGAGATCAGGTGTCACTCTGAAGTCCCGCAGACCTGCCCACCTGGGAAGGTGCAAGTCGAGTTAGGGTCCCATGAATTAAAAGCCACATGAACACAAATGCGGCCTTGTCTCCTTAAGCCACACCACCACGGGCACTCTGGCCAGCACTCCGGCATGTCTCCTGACACGCAGTTGGTGAGGTGGGCTCTCCTGCGGGCCACTGGCACCGAGAGTTACTCCTCGCACTCGTGTTGGCCGGTGTCTGCTGGCTGCCATTCGTGGAGCGGGACGGGTGGGCATGGGAGCAGCAACGCAGGCCCCAGCCTACAAGGAGCTTAAGCTCCAGCCTGAGGATCCTGACGCGGGACCAGCACGGGCTCCGCATGAGGGCCCTGGTCAGTGCAGAGTGTGCTCCAGGCTAGGGAGGCTCAGCAGAAGCCAGGCCCAGCCAGGCAGAGGCTGGGGGCGGCTTGGGGGCATGCGAGGTGGGGACGAAGGGGCGGGCAGCCCCACATGAGCTGGTCGGCACAGGCACCCAGCAGTGTGGCCCTGGAGAATGCTCGGGTAAGGCTGCATCTCTAGGAGGCAGGAAGGCAGGGCTCCGGGAGGGGTGGCCCCAGGCAGAGTGATGGGCCCTCCCTGTGGAGTGCTGGGAGGCCGTGGAGGCCCTGGAACCCAACTGGGCCATATCTATCGTGTGTGCAGAGGGTACGAGGCCCACGTGAGGCGGCCCCAAGGGCGTGGCCAGCTTGCGCTCTGCTTCCCCATCAGTCCGGGCCTGCACGTGCCGTCCAGGGCAGCCACTGCCGCGTCGTCTCCTTCCCGGCTTCCTCTGCGCACTTGTCACGGGCCTCCACCCCGCCCTACTGGCCGCCTCCGTCCTCTGCACTGGGTCCCTGTCTGCCTAATCTGGTGCTCTGAAGTCACGATGGCCACGCGTTCGTATTTCTCTCCTTAGACAAGAGTTCTGGAAATGGAATTCAGATAACATCAACTCCACTGAGCAGAAGGTGTTGAAAGTCAGACACGTGTTTTTTGTTGCCCATAAAGTTGCCGTGACTTCCCGTGCACATACGTGACGCGTGTGTCTGCTGACACTCCTGGGAGGCCCATGTGCAGAGGGAGTGAACTGGTTTGTGGTAACAGATGGGCCTGGGGGCTACGAGCAGGTGCCCGGCATGGCAGCAGGGCTTAGAGGGTCGGCAGAAAGCAGATCCCGTTGTGGAAGCAGGCGGATGCCTGGCCGGTGGCGCCCTCAGCAGGCGGGTTAGCTAGGCCCAGGTGGACACAGGCTCTCCAGGCTGAGAAGCCTGGCCATGGCAGAAGGGACAGAGAGGCGGGTCAGGGCAGGCAGAGGCAGTGCCGAGTTTGGCATCTGAGGGGACAGCCAGCCGACTCCAGGCTCCTCTGGCCCAGGGCACAGGCCGGCGCCCGAGAGAGCACAGGGTCTGCTGGCGAGTGCGAGGCAGCTCTGCTCGCATGCCGGCCCAGGCGCAGAGGAAGCCAGCATTCACTCAGTGGTTCCTGAAGCCGTGTGATGGAGCGGGCGACGTCACTGCACTTCCTCATGGGGGTGGAGGGCAGGGTGAGAGCAAAGCTCCAGGGACCGAGTCTGCAGGCGAGGCGCCATGGTGTGGTTGCCCCTGGCCCCAGACCCGTCACCCTCCACTCCCACCATTACTAGAGACTGGCTGGGAGCACCGCCATGCTCCTGGGCTCTGCAGGGACTGGTAGCCGTGCACGAGGCTTTCCTGGACCCTTCCCCTCCCAGCTCAGCACACCAACCCTGGCAGGCTGCCCAGGGAGCGGGACCTGGATTCCCCGGCAGGGTCCTCCTCCCCATTCCTCCCCGCGGGCTGTGCGAGCCCAGCTGTGGGCCGAAGTCCTGAGCGTGGCGAGTTGCTGCTGCACGGTAGACACGAGTTTTCAATGCGGAGGGCGTGTGGGTCTCAGAAAGTCATGAGGTGTTGCCATTGTCCAAGCGCAATTACACTGGCCATAGAGAAAGCGAGACACACCCCTGTGTTCATGCCAAGAGCGGCGGGGCGCCCACCGTGTGTGGCTGAGGGTCACAGGGTCACAGCAGGGCCGCTCAGACTTGCCCCTTCTTACTGGGGCCCGGGACAAACAGCCCCTTCCTAAGTCTCGATCCAGTCCCCACAGAGCCCGGGTCATAACCAGGGTCAAGCTGTTTACGTGTTTGGAGGCGTTGTGAGAACATGGCGTGTCTCAGATGACACTGGCAAGCCCTGAAGCCCCAGCCCCGGTGTCCCCACGCACGGTGCCCACCGCAGAGCGCCTGTTCTGAACGCTCTCGCTGTACACAGTACGCGTGAGCTCTCCTGGTTAGCCTCTGGGAGCTTCTGTTTCCTGGGCTTTTGTTGTTAGAGCTTTAACAAGTGTGTAGGGCTTATCTTCAGAAGTTTAAAGCCGTCCTGAACTTGAAAAGTGGGTAAGGTACACACCGCATGCATCCCTAGGGCCAGGTCATGGCCCCACGGTCATGCTCTCTCAAGACTCACGAGGATCTTGCAGTGTGGACTGTACCTGGCTGGGAGCAGGCCAGGTCCCTGCTGTCGGGACTCTGCCTGTTCCCGCTCAGGGCAGACCCAGGGCCGACACCTGCAGGCCGCAGTCAGGCGGCGTGTCAGGCCCTCCCAGGAGCGCTCACACGGCCTCTCCCTCCACAGACTCCGCCTGCAGCAGCGCCCCGGGATCCGGGCCCAGCTCACCCAACAACAGCTCCGGGAACGTCAGCACTGAGAACGGGATCGCGCCGGCCGTGCCCAGCCTCACAGCCGAGGTCAGTGCCATCCCTCGCCGTGTCCACATGGGCGCCCGCCTGCCTCAGCACTGGCCTTTGCGGTCTGGGGTGAGGGAGTCATCTGACAAAGACCCTAGTGGGGCCTCCTCCCCTACCCCTGCATGCCACAGACCCCCAGAGGTGTGGACACAGCACCCGGTCGGAGCAGCCCGAACCGGCTCTCCCCAGGCCCCCAGAGCCTGCTTCCCTGGGTGGTAGCAGCATTTAAGTTCTGCCATATGTGGAGATGCCCCAGGGAAGTGCGGCCCACAGCGTGCACCAGGGCAGCTGGCACCACTTGGGCACCCAAAGCCGGGTTCCCGATCACAGGGCTCCCAGGTCGCAGGGCTCCTGGCCACAGGGCTCCTGGCCACCGGTCTCTCAATCACAGAGTTGCTGGCCAGGGGATTTTCAGGCCACGGGGCTTCCGGGCCACCGGGAGTCCCGGGCCACAGGGCTCCTTGCCACCGGGCTCCTGGCCACAGGGCTCCTGGCCACTGGGCTCTCGATCACAAGGTTGCTGGCCAGGGGACTTCCAGGCCACGGGGCTCCCAGGCCACCAGGAGTCCCGGGCCACAGGGCTCCCGGCCACCAGGCTCTCGATCACAGGGTTGCTGGCCAGGGGCTTCCGGACCACGGGGCTCGCAGGCCACAGGAGCCCCGGGCCACAGGGCTCCTGTCACTGGACTCCCGGCCACAGGGCTCCTGACCGCAGGACTCCCATGCTGCATGGCTCCTGGCCATGGGGCTTCTGGCTGCAGGGCTCCCGGGCCACAGGGCTCACATCCCCTCTCTCTTGCCTCCATCAGAGCCTACAGCCAGGGAGGAGCATTGGCAGAGGAATGGGGCCTCAGCAGATTCTAGAATCTAATTGCTGGGGTGACGTCAGACACAGGAGCTGAGCGGAGAGGAAGTGGGGTTCTGCTATGTGGCTACTCCAGGCCGGAGTCAGACCCAGTGCCCTCCCAGCTGGGGCCCAGGGCCTTGGCTCCACACGCTCATCCTACTCTTTCACTTTTGCTTTCCTTTTCTCCATGAGTGTCTGGCAGGACCAGAAACGAGAGCCAGGGCGGGAGGCGAGGCTGGTGCCAGCCCAGACCTGGAAGAGGCCAGAGCAGAGCCACACCTGCCAAGTGCTGCAGCCTAGCCAGGGCTGCGTGGGAGCTCAGGCAGTGAGATTCGGGGTCAGCATGTACACCGAGCACAGGGTCCCTCCTGGCCTCCTCCTAGCTCACCGAAGGCTGTGGTTTATTAAACGCTGTCCTCTTCTTTTCTCCTGGAGTAATTGGAAATGACTCCTGCCTTCCGAACTGCCAGGTCTGAGCGGGGCACAGCAGAGCCAGCGCCTCATGCTCTCCGTCCAGATCTCCAGGCCCCGTGTCTAACGCGCTCGGCTGCCCTGCTCACCCAGCCCACCTTGTCCTTTCCCTTTCTGCTGTTTCTTCTGTCATCTGTCTTCAGCCCGCCGGTTTGAATACTGCCCGACTGTTAAAGTTTCAGCGGCCTTCCCTGTAAGGCTGAGGCCATGGCTGAGCCGACCTGTAATTAGCCGTAGAAGTGCTGGGAAATGCCCCTGCCGGTGCCGTGAACATGCGCGGCGCCTTGTCGGGCGTGGTCAGACTTCTTTTGTCGCCCGGGCAGTTACGGACATACTGGTTGATACAACCTCGCCTCCCTCGGGCGGCTCGGCATGGTTCCAGGCTAAGTTGTACATTAATTTGCAAATGGTGCGATGTGAGAGTTTGGCTGCTCTGAATTCATAGGACATATAGGAGGGGCCACCAGAAAGGCAAGTGCACTGTCCACGTTCCGACGCCCGTCCTAGCAGGCCAGGCCGCACATGGCTGTCCTCTATGGTCACATACAGCCAATGCGAGACAGCGGGCTGAGAAGTGCACACCTCATGACCAGGGCCAGCCCGCCCTTACCGCAGGCAGAGGAGCAGGCCTTCCTGGCACCGGGCGTCTCCTGTGGGGGAGGGCATGGAGGGGGCAGGGGCGTCTGGCCTGGCTCTGCTCCTCCTCTGTGTTGGCCCAGGGATGGAGGAATCATCTATAAGATGCACCCCTGTGCACGCTCACACACACACGCGTGCACACACACATTCCAGAAGGTTTGTCTGTACAGCGGAGTGAGGACACGCCCCGCAGGACCTGGTCCCCCACAGTGCTTATCCTCCAGTGCATCATCCTGTCAGGAACCCGGACCCACGTGTGTCCACAGCACTTTTTACTCAGCGCCTTGTATTTTTAGACCCCGGGCCAGGGAAGTCAGCACCCACCTCTGTACACAGAGGAAGCCGGCTCTGAGCTGCAGGGGTGTCCCCAGTGCCCTAAGAGTAGCACCACCATGACTGATGGAGCCCCTGATCCAGAACCCCATGTGTCATTGGGCGCAGGGGGTACCCTCAGGGTTTTTTTTTTTTCTTTTTTTGAGAGGTTTTTGCTATAGGGCGTGTGCTCTCGCCGGACAGAGAGAGAGACAGAAAGTGAGAAATCACCCCCCAGGGGGGATGGTCACGCCGCAATTCCTTCTCCTCCATTCTCCTTCAGGATCTTGGGCACGCACGCACACGCATCTGGCGTGAGTTTAAGCCACTGGGACTTGAACCACAATTGACTGTGTGGGAATCCAGCGACATAGCCATGACGCTAACTACTGGTCCCCCCTTCGGCTTTCTGCAGAGCCCCAGACGAGCAGGTCCCTGTCCTTCCCCAGCACACCCCTGCAGTCTCTGGCAGCAATGGCAGCAGACCCCACGAGTGCCATTACTTCTCACGTGGGCGGGTCAGCAACACCAAGTAGCCTTGAGGCTGCTCTTTTCTACAGGCTGCTCTTTTCTCAAAGCCGTGTGAGGGCCGCCCACAGTGCAGCAGCTGAGTGCCGTTCATGGGAGCCAGGTCAGATCCCAGCCCTGGCAGCTTCAAACCACGCCCGACGTGGACCTGTGTGTGTGACCAAATCCTGCCGCATGACCACGCAGCAGCTGGCATCTCCGCGCCCGGCCCTCTGGGAGCACACAGTTCTCTCTGAGAATACACCGCGTCTGCAGCTGTCTGTTTCCTCGGTACACGTGCCGTGACAGCACTGTGCTGTCCCGGTAGCCTGAGTACAGTGTACTCAGATTTTGTCACTTTTGACAAAAAGCGTTTGTCCAGGAAAAGTGCTGTTTGCAGTCGGTTCTTCACCTCCAGTGTATGGTTTAGCATGTGAGCAGTCCCAAAGGTGGCGAAGCCTCTCCTCTGCCTGAGGCACAGGCAGGTCTCCTTGGGGAGGAAGCCTTTGCCCTCGGGCTCACACTATGGCGTGAGGCTGGGACTCTAGGCGAGTGATCCCAGATGGCACCGAGCACAGCGTCCTGTGTGAGAACGTCGGCTGGGGCACCTCGGAGGTCCAGGGCCGTCCGCTGTAGGCCCACAGGCAGCATGTGGCGCCCTCCAGCAGGAGCAGCTGACACGCCGGCCTGCAGACAGCCCGCCCGTTCACAGCTCCTGGCGGTTTTTCCATGGGAATGAAGTTCTCGGGCACTCAGTGTCTCCCATCCGTAATCCGCCGTGTGGAGAGCTGGAAGCAGACGGGTCGCACGTTTGTTATCCCTGTTACGCTCTGGTCCACACGTCCGGGCTTGCCCACAACCTGTGGTGGCACAGACGGTGCTGAAGGAAGCGCGGTCCGTGTCAGCGGAGCCCGTGCGTGCCACTGCGAGACGTCACGTAGCACAGCACTCCGGGCTCAGGGACAGTGCGCCTGCTTCCTCGGGCTGGCTTCACCGCAAGCACAAGGCCGGAGCTGGCATCCCTGACTCTGCAGTGAGCAAGGCCCCGTCGCCAGGGTTGCTCCTGGCTTCCCGAGTGGCCTGGCCTGCACAACTTACCCTGGGGTGCTGCCATGCACAGAATGGTGCTGTTTTGGGGTACGTCTGGGCCATTTCCTTGGGTTTATTTCTTCAGATTACCTCTCAAAGGTTGGGCCGACCCTAAGGTTTCACCACAGGTTGTCAAACGGTCCTGCAGAGGGGCCGGCTGGCAGTGCCTGTCTCTCTGGGCCACGGAGTCCCTGACGCTCTCCGTAACACTTTGCCCATTGGGTGCATTTCTGTTAGGTCGTCAGCAAAGCACAGTGTGGTTTCCCAGCGACGCAGTAGACATGCTGCACTTACGGAGTTTGGGTATTTGAAGCTCCTCTTGGTTTCGTCCTTGTCTTTACCACGTACCCTCCTCACTGTTCCGATTCGCGGGCTCTTTGCGCAGCTCAGCGTCTCCCCGCTGACCACATGGCCGTTCCCAGTGGTGGTGTCTGCGTCTCCTGCCTCTCCTGTGGGGGGTTTGTAAACCACTAATCTCTTCTTGGCTTCTGTCCTTCATGGAACGCTTGGAAGACGTTCCAGACTCCAAAGCCTTGTTTTCGAGTGTACCCGCCTACGTCTCCCTCTGCTGACCTGTGGTGGATTAGCAGGTTGAGCAGCAGTAGACAGGGTGACGTCGCAATGGCGGAGGGCTGCATGTGCAGGTGTCACTCGGAACCACCACGCTGCGGCTTTGCACTCCGGCCTGCTCTGTGGACGGAGGCTGCCTGGCGCCGCTGGGCCAGCAGGGTCAGTACCGCGGTGGCTCCGCTGGGCTGGCGGGGTCGGTGCCACCGCGGCTCTGACAGTAGCACGCCTGCCGGAGGCGCGTTTCTCCGGCGTGTGCCTCTCGCCCACTGCCACAACGTGTGTGACGTTCACCCTGTGTTCTGTCCCCAGCCCAGTTTGGCGCACAGACTCGTGACGCGAGACGCCTCGGTGGCCCCACTTCCTCTCTACACTTCTCCGTCCCTGCCCAACATCACACTGGGACTTCCCGCCACCGGCCCGTCCGCAGTAAGTCGGGCTCCGTGGGCTGGGAGGGCGGTGCCCGGGTCCCTTGGCCGAGCACCCCTGCTACGTGTTGCAGGGTACGGCAGCCCAGCAGGACGCGGAGCGGCTCGCCCTCCCAGCCCTCCAGCAGAGGCTCTCCCTCTTCCCCGGCACCCACCTCGCGCCCTACCTGAGCTCTTCGCCCCTGGAGCGGGACGGCGGGCCGGCCCACAGCCCTCTCCTGCAGCACATGGGCCTCCTGGAGCAGCCACCG